ATGGATGTGTTGTTTTAAGGCTCTGAGTAAGTCGTCTTTGTTGCATCCATGTTTGTTTCACATTACTACTTAAAGCTAACGATCACACCAAAGTTGGAACCATCACAAGAGCATGTGAGAGCACCATGCGATCTGTCTTTACTCAAGTCCGATTCCATCTGTAAATGCTCTTTTATTCCTGCTCCGCTTTAACATACTTCTTAACCCAATGATTCCCGCCAATTAAGAGGTTGTCCTGCTTCCTATATTTTGAGGGACTGCACGACCATAGCAGGAAGCCAGTACCCTGTAATAACAGCAATTTAATAAAGTTTGGCATTCATGAGTACTACGTTGGACTTCTCTCATACATTGGTCTCTGTATGTGTTTATGTAAGACAGAAAGTAAAACTGGGATGGAGAAAGAAAAAAACGTTTTTCCATCCAAAGTTGTGTATATCCAATATTTTTCACCTTTCACTGACTCGTGTGCAGATTGAATTACAATGTCCAAGAATATATCAATACACAGCTCAATGACAGTGCAGTTGCACGTACCGGATGCTGCATTGATCAAAGCTGTGACCCCCAAGGATCTCTGTAATGACTCGGTTTCACTGTCACTGATGAAGCCAAGATAAATTGCTGTGTATTTATTCTACTTTCCAACGAAAAGAAATCAGATCCACCCCCTGGAGCAATGCTTTAGCTTCCCTCCAGACTTCTCTGCATCTGTCCTGTTCACCACTTACACACCGTGGACACACAGATGATAGATGTTTGTAGAAGATTTCCAGATCCTCTGGCCCTCGCCGCAGACTAATAACAGAAAGATGGAAAGATAAACTTACGGGAACAGAAAAGGGCAGAAGTTTATTCTTTGTGCGCTGTTGGTTTTTGCTGCATTACTTTATGGGTCAGCTGGAATGGCTCAGTGGGAACATTGATATGAGATAGTAGTTTGTTGTCCCTTTACTCGTATATCATAATCTATTTGGCAGTCCTATACATTTTGAGTACCCCAACGTTTTATGTTAGAAAGGTATAGTAGGGGTTCCCTGCAACTAGAAGCTGCTGGATGCTAACTTGCATATTTTGGGGGCAATTTGCACAATTAGCATAAATTGTGTTAATTAGCATTAGCCCACCAGGAGTACAAATATGGCAACTTTCCTGTTAAAACTGCCATTTCGGATGCTTAAAATGTCAGAAATGTATTCAGCATCCTCAATAACCAACAAAATCACTCCAGAATTGACCAAAACAGCCACGCCATTCTTTAACCATTGTCTGCTATAATGCTAATCAATGCTAATTATGCTAATTGTGCAAATTGCCCATCATATGCAAGTTAGCATCCGGCAGTTGCATGTGCAAGGGACCCATACTATACATTTTCAACCATAAAACTTTGGGGTACTCAACCTTTCCGGGTTTCAGTGCTGACAAGTAGACTATCATGTATTACGCTCAAACAAAAGTTGTATTTGCAGTGAGAAAAATATGAATTTGTCTCTGAACAGTGCACTTCTGCCTAATTGAAAGAAACAAATCATTCAAGGAAAAGTTCATTGCAATATTTTGATGCTTTTAAATGTCTTGTTCAGCGTCCCACAAACCAATTGGTGGTGTCATGGTGACTTTGTCAACCTGCATTTTTTTTTGGCCAATTGGAGGCGGTAGAAACAATCTGACTGCCATAATTGTTAAGATGATGAATTAGACAGTTGCTTATTTTCACATTCAGCAGATTCAGAATATCTCAGGATTTTTAAGTTATGTTTCCAGACACCTGGTGGAAATCTAATTCTCACTCTTTTCTTGACTCTTTTTTGGTCTCCACCAGCTCCTGAAGGAACATATCTGTAGCTTTAGCTGCTAAACGTGCTGCATGTTCTACAGCTAGCTGATACCCCTTACCCCTAGATTCCACCGGGTCCGTCTGCGTCGCGTTACGGCCGCGCTACGGCCGCGCTACAGCTGCTCCGCGGCGTTCGCAGAGATCGCGGCCACTCTAGTCAAAACAAAGTGTTTTGCTCGCAACAAATATAAAAATGTAATTCAAAAAGTGTTCCATGGAGTTTTCTGATGGAGTTAACTATTGTTTGTTGTCCACGACTGACGTTAAATATACTGGACTTCTTTTTTTAGGAATAATAGGACTGCACATAGTCCCTTGATCATCCATAGCAGTGGTCTGTTCTCCTGAGCAGCGGTCTGTTAGTGAGAATTAACCTTCAAAATGTCCAAATTCAGAATTGAGTATTCATGTTAAAACATGCTAAAACAATAAATTGTCGATAAATTGTTATACCGGTTATAGGCAGTTTTAAAGCAACAGGTCACTACCAGGTCACAAAGGACAGATGCTGTGAAAAAGAATTGATCTTGAAAGCAAAGAAATCTTTTCACTGCAGTGCAGGAAGGACTGCTGTATTGCTTTACTATAAAGAGTTGCTTTATGGCATTAAACAGAAGGAAATTCAGACACCAATCCAAGTTTTACTTTTTTGTACCTTCAACCAAATTCCTGTAGACCCACATCTGGGTTGAAGAAGAGGACATGGTAACATCCTCTTTGAGACAGGAAGTATAGGGTTTCAGCGAAATATGGTCGTGATTTTGAGAAATAAGAATTCAATACATACAGTTCAGTCTTTGAAGAAATGCTAAAATCTCCCAGTGTGGTGAGATCACTTCTAAACCAACCAACCTCTCCCAAACCTTCAAACTAGATAAAACATTTTAAGATATGTAAATAATGCTTTATATATATGATATTAAAAGAGACTGAAGTGGAAGTAAGGACAGCAAACAGACTGCCTGGGGGGAGGGTGGTGTTGTGGGTGAGTTGTTGTCAGAGACAGGAAACATGTGAGCTGAAGATCCGTAGAGGACTTGGCGGCATGGATACACACACACACACACACACACACACACACACACACACACACACACACACACACACACACACACACACACACACACACACACACACACACACACACACACACACACACACACACACACACACACACACACACACACACACACACACACACACACACTTCCAGGACACACAGGACTTGGCCCTCGCAGGCGACGTGTCACGAGGAATCAAATTAGATGTTGCTGCGCAGAGCGGCCAGAACAAGGCCAGGGATTTTCTCAGGGAATCAAAAATAAAGTTGAATTAATCTCAAGGATAATTTGTCAATTCAACCAGAGAGTTAACATGTAAAGAAGCCCATGTGGCTAATTAAGCGGGTCATTCATTCGCCGCATTTTGTCTATTACACTTTCCTGGCAAGGGATCCTCGGCCTAGGGAGGGGGGGGTCAATCTACTGTATCAGTGTGACACATCTCCAGTCTGCGTTTGAACTTGTGATTTACTGGTTTTTAGTAATCTCATGTATCGCACAGGCTCAAATGGTTTATGATTTGAACAACGACACACAAATTATATCAAATTAGAAATGTGATCTCGACAATAGCTTCCATGCTAAATGTGCCCATACTTGAAGAGTTCTTAAGTACATATTACCGCCACTATACATTAAAGCAAACAACATTGTTAAACAAATATAGACCGTGATGAATTACTGTCTTGTTTGAGCCCTGATAAAAATCCAGCTGCTGCTCTCCAGCTATGTGTGCCCTCTCCTGTCATGACTCAGTGCTGAGTGGGACATTAGAGGGTCTCTTCCTAGTACCCGGCTCAGTGTTAGAGGGACGTGCATTCTACATTGGCTCTGGACTGAGTTTAGCCTCATGGGAACTGCTGATATCAGCCGGAGTCCCAAGAGGTGGCAGGGGAGTTCAGCTGAGTTAATCCAGCGGACAGGGTGCCCTGTCAGTCAAGGCGCGGGGCAGCAAACGCGGGGACTGACCTGAGAGGGGTTGTGTTTGAGGAAGGCTGGGGAGTGTACTCAGCTGGGTGGTCCTCCCCCACCCCCCACACCCCCCTTCCCGTTTAAAAAAATATATATAGGCAAATGAGGATTCTGACTTTAGCCTGTGCCAGGTTTGGTCATTTAGCCTGACGTGAGAGAGCCACCTGGTGGTCACATGGGCAGTTGCATGCCGAGACAATCCATAAAGTGAACAGAAATGTAACATTAATAGCAGAAACAAATATGGAAAAGACATTAAATTTTTTCATCCATTATTGTTTTAATTGTTTTAATGAATTAGATTTGGTTTATTTATTTTTGTTTTCAGCAAATACAACCTAAACACACAAATAACCAATATACTGTAAAGTAAACAATAAAAAGTATACTTTCAAAGCAGTGTCAACCAAAGCAGTGAAAGTGAAAAGGAGATGGCTTAAGACGTATCTTATCACGCATACCCTTTTCACATTATTTGTACAATTCCAAATAATTGTGTACACTGGAAATGAAAGAAATAAACAAAATACAATTTTATTTTATTTCATTCAAAATAACAAAATGATTTACTCGCAAAAAGTTGCACAAAAAAAAGAACTAAAACAAGCTGTGATGATCTTATTTTTAAATATTGTTTTGAATCTATTAAGTCTCTTACAAATTGGTACACAAATCAACCTCTTTGTTCAACATTTTTGGTTTCCATTTCTTCTATTTATTTGTGTAAACATGCAAAAGCCTCCTTATTCATACTGAATCACTCACATTTTAAACAACTCCTGTCTTAAGTCTGAAAACATCTATTATTGTGCAGTTTTTATACATCCAACATATCTCTACCATTGATATGGTGATTTAACTTTTCTAAATTTAGAAAATATAATGCTTTACCTTCAACCAGGCATTGTGCATATTACTTTTAATATATATTATATTTCAAAGTGAATATCTACCCTCAAATAACCATAAAACGGCAGCTAGTGATCATGTTCAAATCTTCCATTGTATATGTATAATGGTTATTTCAAATACCCTGATATCTGAAACATTTATATAAAGTAAATGCAGTAAGTCCCACCAACCAGCCCACTGTGGTTTGGTAAAGGTACAGGACAGGTAAAGGTGAAGCGGGAGGGTTGGACATGTGAGTGTGTGGTCAGTGTGTGTGCAGATGTTCCTGCAGTGATGGCTCAGCAGGTGAAGGTAGCAGCAGCCGCAGAGCTCTACTCTGACATGGAGACTGTCAGCTCCACTGCAGGTGAGTCAAAAACTGTTTGATTTGTATTATCAGTCCATCATGTCATCCACCAATGATAGAATATCCTGTACAAAACAGCAAAACAGAGAGACCTGGAAACAATCTATCTTACTTGCCATTTTTTCAAAAACAGCAAAGGTACAGTGTAGATAAAAGTTAAAGTAAAAAAGAGTAGACTTACATAATAAAGAGGCGAGCACACGTTAATAAAAACAAATCTAATATGTACCCATCCATGGTAAATCGTACGAAGCAGCATTTTATAATAGTAATTTCACATGTAAAAGTATTGAAGGAAATACATTGTCTCCCACAGTTCAAGTTTTTTAAGAGGACTTTAAATGTCATTAACATCAAAATTATTGTATTCATTGCTATGACATTGACTACCATCAAAACGTATATCAGAAATGTATTCTCTGAGGATAAACTTCATGAGATAACAATCGAGAAAACAACAGTGTGAGCATAAATCCCTTGAGATATCCTCCTGTTTTCCCCAAATTAAACAAATGGAAAAAATGAACAGTGCAATATCTAGTGTTATATTACACAACAATGACACAACAAATAACCAGAAACAACCACGAAATAAGGAAAATTGTTACATTTAACAATGTCCATCTTTACTTTGACTACCAGCGCAAAACATTGTCTCATAGCTGCTTTAAAATTAAAATGTTGCCATAAAAAACTGTACTGTACCTTAAATTGTATTAGTTACCAATTGTAATGAGCACATGTACTTTAATAACAGTATCAACATATGGGTGAAGTGTTGTTCTATTTAACCCAATCTAACAGTTTGAGTAAGTAACCAGGTTTGGTCAAATAAGATACTTGAAATCGTTGTGGGAAAAATAAATCTATAGAAATTTGGTAAAGTCCCGAATTAGCTTGTTCTGTCTCCTCCCTCAGCGCCATGCTGTGAACAGACGAGGTCCGCTCAGTGCACCAATCTGTCCGATTAGTCACTTTGTGGTAATAATCTTCAGTCAAATCCCCCAGTTTCTGGTATCCTTTTCTCACGAGCTTCCCTTTGGCAGCTAAAGCTCCGTGGCTCTCAGGTTGCCTGGTGGCAGTGGGAACCATAAAGTCAGTGTAATCCCTCTTTTTTCAGACAGTCATTGGTGAAATGGGCCCTTACAAGTTCAGGCCACAGGAAACAGGAGCTGGAGAATTGTCTCCCGAAAAGTTAAAGTATTTTCTTCCTCCTGAGAACAGATATAGGAGAGTCGCTGAGGAAGGGCTCTTTGTGCGAGACCTCCATGGGGGTCGGCTTGGGCAGGCGGAGCCGGGCCTACCCCTCCCCGGCCCGGAGACGGCACCGCACCACCTTCAGTCACAAGCAGCTGGAACATCTGGAGGTGGCCTTTGGACAAAACCAGTATCCTGACATCTACTACAGAGAGGAGCTGGCTCGTGTTACCAAGCTCAACGAGGCTCGCATCCAGGTGGGACCGGCTGATAGGGAGAGGCTGGGGACGGGTGCAACACTTTTTGCGTTTCTCTCAATTATTTTGAGACTATAGAGTGGTGCAGTAAACCCTAATGTCCTAAAACCCGGAAATTAGTTAGCATTCACCACTTCCAGTTCCCTTCTCAAAGTTTTTGAACGTGTTATTGGTAAGAGGCCTAAATGAGTGGTTAACACAAGTTTAAGAGATTTCCCCCTTTTGTTCTACGACATAAAATACGTCAGTCGATGCACCACTCGGGAATGTCTGTTAACAAGTGACTAAATAAACCAGACGTCATCAAGCTAAACATTAGCCACCTTTAGCTTAGCAGTGGTAACGTGAAGTCATGTGACTGTGATTAAATGTGCTTAAAGCCAAATCTTTATTTTATTTTTGTATTTCGTTTCATGCAACATTTTTACAATACATCTTTTAGGTATTGGTCACATTTAAATATGTATTTTAAATGTATGAAGGATTTTGGTTATCAGAGAAAAAAGCTAAGCAGACGTACAGTAAGCCACGCCGAGCTGCTTTAAGAAATTACATTTTAATATGAACTTGCTTTACTCTGTGTTTTTACTGGCTTTAATGTACTGGTGAGTTTGCTTTGGAGAGGACACATCTGTGGAACTATTGGTGGTCTAGTAAACATTTGAATGACAATGTTTCTGTCTTTGTCTTTAACCTGTCCTGGTCTCTGTCTCTGTCTCAGCAGGTTTGGTTTCAGAACAGAAGAGCCAAGCAGAGGAAGCAGGAGCGAGCCTCCCACAAGGTTCTCCCTGTGGGTATGATGTCAGGCCACAGGGCGCTGCTGGGGGGGATGCACGTCCAGCCCCCCACCATGGCCCGGCAGTACTACACCCAGTCCCTGGCTCACATCCCCCGCCTCCCCCCTATGCTGCCCTCCGGGGCGTACCCCTGCCACCCGGGCCAAGTGAGCCAATGCCCCTGCCCCATTGTCCCATCACAGCCAGCCCCCCCGCGGCAGCATGAGGACTGGTACAGCCCGCTGAGGGGCAACCTCCCATCTCCCATGTTCACCCTGGCCTCCATGCAGCCTCTGGACCCCGCCTCACACTGGAGCTGAGAAGTAACAGACCTATAAAGCCAAATATTACATTAAAATAACTTTTAGACAATTCAGTGATCATCATAATTTAACGGGAAACTCATTTCATTTTCACATCATATCAAAAGTCTGAAGTTTCAAATAGCCTTAAATGTGTAGAATAGTATCAACATCTGAACCTGAAGTGGTAAAATGCTAACTCATTTCTGGCTTTGGGACTCATTCCTGCACCATTCTATTTCTTTCACAATATTTTTAGCCATTTGTATGTTCATCCTTACCGTGTTTTAAGTCATGTATAGCACATAATGTGAAACTTGATTTTTTAAAAACCCTTTTTAGTCAATCTGACAATAAAGATAATTTTTCTCGAGTGCCTTTTAAACGTGATTTCATGAATGCAACATGGTAGGAATCCCTTTACCATAATCTAATTAAAAAAAACACATGTCAAATTCTTTAGACGATACTTTTTAATATCTCACATTTCAAATACAACACTTTTTTTTTTTAATATATATTGATTGATGAATAAATCCGGGATGACAACAATATAGAATTCATTTATCCATCAAAAAAAGATGGATTCAATAAAGATCGACACACACACAGACCTGACATGTTTGATCTGTTTCTGTTTTAAAGGCAGCTAATGATTTTTACTGGAAATCTGTCCGATCTCTAAACAGCTGCATCAACCAGTGTGCTTTGAGTGGAGCTTATCCAGTGATAAAGGAGCAGCAGTATGGCGCTGCTGCTTTACATTCACTCTGTGAGACTTATGTCAAGTATCAGCTGGCTACAGTGAAGAGGATTGTGATTGGCTCATATATTTATTATGCTATTATACAGAAGTTATAAGAGGCAAGTGAAAGAAAAAAAAGAGTGATCCATTTATGTACTGATTGTTGCTCTATGATTTGATTACTTAAACACAGATGAAACATACAGTTTGGCCGGGATAATATTTCTAAAATCCTTCATTGTACTACACAGTTGGAAAAAAAAGTTTTGCCAGCTGATTGTTTGTGCGTGTTTGTCATTGTAATACTTATTTTGGACACAAAGGGGCACCAAAACTCCATGTTTTAAAAGAGAAAAAAAATATTCCACTTGATTCTAGAGAAAAACCAAAAACTTAGCACAAAAACCTTTTTCCATCCGCTTTCACACATTTTTTAAAGTAACTCAAATTATCCTTGCCAGAGTTTTTTTTTCACCTTGCCAAGCCTTTTCCCCCAAACTGTTTCATAGAAGGAGAGGAAAATAAACGTATGCAATATAATTTGTATAATTTTATCCAGGCAAAAACCTTTTCTTGGCTCCTTCATTTGCCTCTCAGGGCTTCCGTAATTGTCATGGAGCTATAGCCATAGAAAATAATCTATATTTGGTGCCCAGCGAGCAACCGCAGAAATAAACTAACCTCATCAGTTTTGACACACACACACACACACACACACACACACACACACACACACACACACACACACACACACACACACACACACACACCACACACACACACACACACACACACACACACACACACACACACACACACACACACACACACACACACACACACACACACACACACACACACACACACACACACACACACACACACACACACACACACACACACACACACACACACACACACACACACACACACACACACACACACACACACACACTTTCAAGCGTCTCATCCTCATCACAAACGGCACATGTGATTCACAGAAGGAATCTTTGGTCCACCATGGTGAGCGTCACACAGCGAGGGTGTGTGTTTGCTCGTGTTATAAGTGTGTTGTACCCCTCAAAGAAGGACACACACACTATAGAGGTCCTGTATATGTAAGAGGGCCAATTCACCCAAAATTACAACATAAATTCTCTCGTTTCCCTTTAGTAGCAATGCAAGAAGTTTTGGCCGTCATTTGCCACTGTGTTATTGATAGTTGTACTAGTACTAAATGAAAGTATTGGGCTTTAATTGTATCAGACTTTTACAAGCAGTAGTCTCTAGAAAAAAAAATAGCAATCTATTTTTATAATCAAATTATAGTTATGTCATTTTTCAACCCATAAATGATGATCTGTGGTTAGAAACCCATCAGGGGTTAATAGAAAACGGTGTTTGTTAGTGATATTGGTTGAACTGACTCTTTAAAAAAAAAGGCATGATTTCAAGGAATCTACAAAGAAATGTCCCTGCACGTGTTCACCAGTCAGACTCGCATCACGCCATTTTGTTTTCCGCTTCTTTTTTGTTACTTAATAAATTAAATTAAACGCTTAACCAAATTAACTGAGACCATCTTGGTCAGTTGAAAAAAACATGTCCATATTTCCCAAACTCCAGGCTAACTGACTTATTACTCTGACTGATGGCCTGTGAGAGAGAAAGCAGAGGTTAAACGTTGGTGGCAGCTCCTCAGCTCTCTCCCCTCTCTGCAGATTTCTTGCCGTTGTTGTTGTTGTTGTTGTTTTTGTTGACATGAAGAATTTCAGATACCTCACTCCAGTGATTTGGCAAACTCTGCATAATCTATATACCCGTCATTGTTTTTGTCGTCGTCCTTAAGAACATCATCGATAAGGACGATGAGGTCCTCCTCTTTCATTGGCTGGCTGTGCTCCCCTCTCTCCTGAGAAAGATATAAGAAGATAAAATGTGAAAAGGTTTATCACTGTATATGTGTAGCAACCACTCATTATTTACGAGATAGATTTGGTTATTTATATCCGCATGGAAAGTTATCTGGGTTTCTGTTTAGTATTGCTTTTCTTTTGCAAGTTTTCTGAAATCTGAAAGTGAGTTGAATGATATCTAAGAAGATCAGAAAAAGTTGCAGCCATCATTGTAGTTGACATTTTTCTAATATTGTAAACTTTCATAAAACATTTAAATTCTTAAAAGCAAATTAATTCCAGCTGCTATACCATCCGTGGTTGTTAAAGCAGAGGAAACAAGGTCACAGTTTACTTGATGGGAGTGGCATTTCTTTAAATAGATTACAATGAGGGAACCATTTAAATGTGTTTTGCGGTTTGGAAAAGCTTTTCATTAATGATAGAGTGTTTACTCTTACTAAAGTATATGATATATAAACGTATAAACACACATGTACTCCTCAGTCCATCCTCTAGGCAAGACACTACAGGGGAAAACCTTGCCTTCTTTTAGACAAGTGTAAAGGAAACCTCAAAAATAGATATTTTAATGTTGAATCTGTACATTTGTAGTAAGCAATAGATGGTACCTCCTTTGACTAATGAAATGTAACTTTTCAGAAAACATTTAATTAAAAAAAGATTGTCTTAATGTTAGTGATCAAGTAGGGAATAAATACATGTTAACACTTTCATGCCCATATACTACATTAGTTAAACACTTATCCACCTGAAGCATGTCCCCTTAACATAAGAGGCATTTCCACCACATCCAAAATAATTTTAAAAAACATTTCATACGTATACCCACCTCTCTGTGCACATGTGAGATGGCTGTGGCCAGCTCCAGCCCGTCCAGCAGGTTGTTGCCGTCGTAATCGTGCATCTTGAAGTAGTGCAGCTGAAGCTCCTGTGGCGTCATGTCCGTCTCCGGTTTGTCTATCACTCCCTCTAAATGCTCCATGATGTGGCTGGGAGACAAGAAGAGGACAGTCAAATCAACACAGATTACATAGACAGTGGACAGTGGAGCCCAACGTGTCCAAAGTCCTCCATTCCGAGCAAACAAGTCCTGCATGGAGCTATCAGAGAACATGTTGGAATGTGGACACAACACTCACTCTTTGTCCTGGACCATGTTTCTGTCCAGGTGACCGTGAGAGGTCACGTGCGCGGCACTCTCCACCACCTGCTGCTGATGCTGCTGCTCCACCTCCGAGTGGACACACAGTAGATAGGAGGACAGGAGGAGCAGCAGACCCCCCCACCGAGAACTACACCGCCTCATTCTGCTGGGCACAGAGACAAAGACAGCAAGTTAAGACTTAAGACTACTGTGTTGTATAAATCGATGGTCCATAGTACATTATACACTCACTGGCCACTTTATTAGGTACACCTGTTCAACTGCTCGTTAATGCAAATATCTAATCAGCCAATCACATGGCAGCAACTCAATGCATTTAGACATGTAGACATGGTCAAGACAACCTGCTGCAGTTCAAATAGAGCATCAGAATGGGGAAGAAAGGTGATTTAAGTGACTTTGAACGTGGCATGGTTGTTGGTGCCAGACGGGCTGGTGTGAGTATTTCACAAACTGCTGATCTACTGGGATTTTAACACACAACCATCTCTAGGGTTTACAGAGAATGGTATGAAAAAGAGAAAATATCCAGAGAGCAGCAGATCTCTGGGTGAAAAAAGGGCTTGTTGATGCCAGAGGTGAGAGGAGAATGGCCCGACTGGTTCTAGAAGATAGAAAGGCAACAGTCACTCAAATAACCACTAGTTACAACCAAGGTCTTCAGAAGCTCTGAACACACAACACGTGGAACCTTGAAGCAGATGAGCTACAGCAGCAGAAGACCACACCGGGTGCCACTCCCGTCAGCTCTGAACAGGAAACTGAGGCTACAATTTGCACGGGCTCACCATACTGGGCAATAGAAGATAGGAAAAATGTTGCCTGGTCTGAATGGCGACATCCGGACCGCAGGGTCTGGGCAGGGCTGCACGATTAATTGAAAAATATATTCAATGACAATGGTGGGATTTTGGGAGGTTCATATACTGTACCACAAGGTTACATAAAAGTTAACTGGAATATTTACATTTTTGGTATCATATTTGTCATTATCATTGAAAAATATGTTAAATGATTATGGTGGGATTTTTTTTGTTCGGATCTCTATGAAACAAATACGTTTTTCTTACAACTTGTAAGTCAAAATATCTCTGCAGCTCCATATTAATTAATTCAATTATTTTTTTCAAACATTTAGCCTTTATCAAATGTTGTCGCTTCTTGCGATTTTAGTATTGCACTTGACGTATTGCGATTTCGATCAAATGTAGATTAATTGTGCAACCCTAGTTTATGTTCCCTAAATGTTCACATTTGTTTCTACCTTTACACAGTCTGCTTCCTTCACACCTTATTTCCCAATTAATTCATATCTCTTTTATATGACAATCAGTATCTGGTTTACAGGTTTTCCCGTTCCAGGAATTTACTGGTCTATTGATGTGTACATAATAGCATAGAAGACAAATATAATATCATGTAAATATGAATAAAATACAAATTAGTTAAATATAACTATGTAACGTTGTATAAGAAAATTATAATGAAAATATTTAAAAAAAAGGAGCAAGCAGTTTGCGCATGAATATGCAAAATTGTCCCAGGATTGTGCAAAGATCCACAGCATTAAGTATACAAAATAATGTGCAACGCACACATTTAATTCTTAACTATAATTTAAGAGAGCCTTCTTAAATTGATAATTGCGCCACAGTCCCAACAGAGGAGACAATATTTAGTAAAGTCGTGATTGTAAATCAAAATTGTGCAATTATGGAAGCATTCAGCCATATGTTGTTAGGAGGCAGAGACAATAACCTTTTAAAACAATGGGATAAATATCGATATTTAATTGCTGTGAAATATAACATGGAGGTTCATACTGTATGTAGCACGAGGTTATATAACAACCGCTATCTTAGTAAAAGTTAATAGAAATATTAACGTTAGCAGAAAGGATGGCTGTAATAACATTTGTTAGCATGAAGCTTCGTTCCACTGCGTTGAAATATCATTATCTGTTAAATGCACAAACCATACAATACGTACAGTGATGTAATTACTTAAAGGGTCATTTTAATACTTACACTGTAATGATTTGTATCTCCACTTGACTCGGTAGACAGTTATGTTGTTTTAGTTGTTGCCTCGCAAAAATGATCTGTAAGAGCCTTTTCGGACTGAGTGGCTTGCCGTAGCTGCTCTTGGACACGACAGCTCATCGTGATTGGTTAAATTAGTCAAAGAGTATACATCTGGAGCAAGAAGACTCCCCATACTGCTAACCTCGCTAGACGCAACAGGAATACTACATTGCTATTTCAAGCTTCCTACGATTAAATTATTGTATTATATTTATTTTTAATTGATTTTATCATACCATGTAATTGTTCTGAGATCAAGTTTAAGGTTGTAGCAAGACAATAATACAGCCATAACACCTATAAATACCTTCAAGTTGGATTACAATAGCTTCCTTCGTGTTTTACATGTTGGCAGTACACCGGGTGAAGTCTCTTGAGTAAATTATTTATCGCTGACACGAACTAACCTTTTTATAATTTCCAAAAATATTGCCATTTTCGAGTTGTAATTTGTTAGAACTGTACAAATGTTATTTTACAGGGGACAATGTATTTTACGATATGGTGTACTATCTTGACATCGGCGATTACTCTTTTATTACGTCAGCAGGCGGAGTGAAGCAGCCGCTCAGCTGTCATCTGTACACCACACACGGGAGCATGCTGTGTGGTGGAGTTTACTGAGAAGAGAAGAAGAAGCGTCAATTAGGCAAACAAATGTCAAGTTTCCAGAGAGAAAATGACGCTGCTAAATCTCTGTTCAGGAGACTTGAGGTTTTTCTAAATGTCAAAGAGTAGCTGATCAGTTACACCCCTCAGTAGCCTAGTCAATCACCCCTGTTTACCCTTGTATTTACACCCTGTGCTGTGGATGATAGGATACATGGTAATTGTTGTTCCACTGCTGGTGAAGTCATGTGCATTTTTCCTTTTATGTTTCCCTCAATCGTTTGCAGTTTTCCTCCATTAACATCCCTGGTTAGTGATATAGTTCTCTCTGTATGTTTTGTAACCTACATAATTAAGTCAGTGCATTTGCATGTTACTGTGCAATAGCTGACAGATGTATTATTTTGTAACTGAGCCAGGAGGTTAGCCAGCCCCAGCCTGCTAATGCTGCTGAACCCAGATCAGGGTGCAAGCCAAGCAATTACAAATGGATTTTGAGTCCAACAAAATCATTTATGAAATGAACACTGTTAACATTTAAATACATTTAAAAAAACAGCGCCTTATATGCATGCATCCTGTCTGTTTTGGTTTCTGTGGAACAGCTTTCTTTGCATTACTGCATCGTAAGCCCTACCTGATCCAGTTAAAGTGTTAACAGAGAGGATTAAGGACAGGTCCCTCTGAGGGAGGACACCATTCCTTTTATTTTCAACCACTACAGATAATGACCTCTCAAAATAAGGGCTGCAATAACAATTATTTTTAATTATTAACTAATCTCCAGATTGTGTCCTCGATTAATCGATTGATCTCTATAAAATATCATATAATAGTGAAACAAAGTAAATGCAAGTTCTTACACGTGCAAGGTGATGTCATCACATGTCTTGTTTTTCTGTACAAAACACTAATATGTTTACTTTAGTATGATATAATAACAGGCAAGCAGTTCCTTCCTTTTTTTAAGTCTGGATACAGGATGTTATGCCATGTTATGCATGGAAAATTACCTATTATCCTTTTATTAAAGCTATAATGGCTGTTTTTTTCTCTCATTTGGATCAACAACATAATAGTCGATTAATCGTTGCAGCTCGTATAGTGCCACTCTGATTTTAAGAAACGGACAGGAGTCACTAGTCGAAATGAACTTAAACCCTCATTATGTGTACAAATAAACAAAATGTCAGCAGCCTATTTACTTTTGTGCTTTTTTTCTGTTATAATGAACTTTTGATAGTAACGTAACTCCCCCCCCCCCCCCCCCCCCCCCACAACCGCACTCAAAGAGTACACGTTTATTTATCCTGGCAGTCTGCAGTCACTCCCATCGTGTCCGGGGACTACAGTCACCACCGGGACAGAGCGGCGATGGCATCCCGGGTCTCCTTCACCCAGGTCCGGATGGAAGTGGAGGTGGAGCGCTATCGGGCCGAGTGTCAGTGGGACAAGATCCCGACGATGGTCGAGCAGATGAAGGCTGCGCGGTTCCATGAGGACGGTGAGTGGGTCTGCGACACCCGGAGGGTTTAAAGTGTCGCTTCCCGGCTGTTTTAATAACTCACTGATCTGCACACTGCAAACAAATTGACTATCAAAAAATATATATATTTTTTTTAACCGGTTATATGGTGTCTCCAAAATAAGTGCCCAAAGTTGCCTGTTTTTAGACAAGTTTCAGGAAGTTGTTTCCAGAGTGACTGTCTCTTAGTTGTATGCAACACTTTGATAAAGATTTTTAAAATGAGTTGATTTACTGTGCCTCAACCTGCAGATTTGTCCAATTGAAAATCATTGTTTTTTTTAAGTAAAGTATGATTTAAAATTCAGTCATAATCTTGAGATCTTGAGTGTTTGTCCAGGATGTGTATGTTTTGCAGTGCCTGGGTTGCACTGTACACAAGTTGGACTTTGGACTTTCAACAAGGCAGAGGGCAGTGTTGGGAGAACTACTGAGATCCTTCACTAAAAGAAAAAACTACCATATTCTAAAAATACTCCATTACAAAGTGCTGCCATCAAATTGTTACTTAGGCAGTATATTATCAGCAAAATGTCTTAAAAAGTAAAGTAACTCATTATATAAAAGGCTCTTTTAAAAGTGTTACTTTATTCTGTTTCATCACTAATGAATGAATGTATTTTTTATAAAGTTATAGTTAATTTAATGTTGTAGTTCCTCAATATAAAGCCACTTGTATTTACTTTGAATACTTCTGAAGAGGTATAGTGCGTACAAGTGTATCATGTGTTTTGTACAGTACAGTCACCTTTGTGATGAATACATGTAGTGGTGTAAAAAGTACAATATTTCTCATTGAAATGTAGTAAATAACAAGTATAAAGTGCCACATAATGGAATATTCTACCTATACAGTAGGCTACTTCTGTCAAATCAATCTATTCAACATAAATAACCATTCCGCAACTGATAGTTGGAGGTTGTGGCTCAGTGGTTAGTGCGCTGATCTTCAGATCACGGGGGCACTGGTTCGAATCCCACTGCAGTCAACATTCCGCTGTGTCCTTGGACAAGACACTTCACCCCAAATTGTTCCTGTGGGGATTGCCCACAGTATTGAATGTATGTAAGTCGCTTTGGATAAAAGTGTCTAACAAGTGACATGTAATGTAATGTAATGTAATAGTTGGTTACTGGAGCTAAAGTTCACTTTGAACATTTGATTCAACAAAAGTAATAACAAGTTGCTGACATCTGTCCTACTTTGTGATTCCAGGGGTCAGACAGGAGTTGTTGAGAATAAAACGTCTCTACCTGGAAGTTTACAGTACACACAATCATAGAGAGTGTGCATGATAGAAGGTATTGCATGACCCTCAGCATTGTAAACCCCCCCTTACACAGGATAGACCTAGTACTAATGGCTGTATCCTGTACAAGATTTTCCACTATTCACTATCTTTACCCTTGAAATGATTCCACACTGTACATGTGCTCAAATAAATGCAAACACACTTATCATTGTGTGCCTCATAAAGCATTACTTTGCTAAGTCGCTAATGCACCTGCCTCCACCTTTCGTCTCAGCAGAGTAAATATGGGTTCAGGCAACTTGATGACAAGTCTGCTGGTATTGTGCCCACAGCAGTTTTTCCCTGCCTGCACATGCACTGAAGTGTTAAAATCAACGTGGTATTACTGTGTAAGTGCATGGTTCACATTTGCTGATCTGACAATGAGTGTGCATGGAAGTCATGGTGCATCCGGAGGGGTAGTTCTATTTCGTCCCTACTGACCACCAGAGGCGGTGCTTTAGCACTGGATATGTCCATCGCACGCATGCGCAGCTTGAGTACCAATAACAACAAAGTCACCTGTGACCCACGTGACACCGGCTATATCTGCCGGTGTCGTCAGAGGATCTGTTCCTTTCATCTTCATAGGCCTGTGCCCACTCCCAGCAGGCCCAGGGGCCCCTCTAGCAGCCGCAATCAGCCACCAGCTTACAGTGGTGGTCTGCGGAGGTCCCAGCGGCCCACTCAACTGCCTCCCGGTGGCTTTCGTGCCCCCGGTCGCCGGCCTTCTAGGCAGCCTCGTGCCTCAGAGCCTTACCGGCGCCCCCCGAAGTCTCGGGGCCGGTCGTCGGCTGCTTTTCCCAGCAGCAGCTCAGTTACTGGGCTGCCTGTACTTCCGACCCTTGGGTGGTTCCACCTTAACCCAGGGGTACGAACTGCAGTTCCGGCCCCTAGCCTTCCGCCGGGTCAAAATGACAGTTGTCAGCGATCCGGCGAAGGCCTTAGCTCTAGCCCAAGAGTTGTCTGTCCTCTTGGCCAAGGGCGCAATCGAGCCAGTAGACCCTCTGCTCAGCCCGGGGGGGGTTCTACTCGGCGTACTTTCTCGTGAGCAAGAAAGTCTGCGGATTTCGTCTGATCTTGGACCTCAGAGGAATCAACAGATTCCTGAAGGTGCTGCCATTCCATATGCTGACCACATGCACATGCACAGGGGGAGTGCACAGGGGGGAGTGGTTCCCAACCGTGGACTTGAGGGATGCCTACTTCCACGTGCCGGTTGCATCTCACCCAGGGTCGGTGTCATGGGGGGTCATTCGCGGGCCATGCCCCCCCAAATGAGTCACTGTGCCCCCCCCCAACGCAGGGCGGGCAAGCCTTGCCACTTGCCGTTTTTTGTTTTTTTAATCATATAAGTGAAAACGTTTCCACTAAAAGTTTTTTGTGTGAAATAAATCAGAAATAAAGAATGCAAATATAAAACACAGCCTGAGGTGTGCTCACTGCTGCTCTCTGATTGGTGTGTTGCTTGACCAATGACCCCCGACCTTTGTTTTGTTATCATTATGTGGCTGTGTGTTTAGATGAAAGCCCAGTGGCGATCTGTTCATCTGTTATACTGATTATACAGTAAAGCCAGCGAAAATAATATGATATACAGTACAA